TTTCATTAGCGGTGGACACACTCAGGATAGCTAACCCCCTTTGTTTATTGTGCAACTGTGAAGCTAAACTAAGCTAACCTAAGCTAAGCTAACCTGAGCTAACCTAAGCTAAGCCCATTTGATGGCTCACCCAGCCGTCTTCTTCCATCGTCCCCTCTGAGCTGTTTTATTAGCGGTGGACAAGATCAGGCTAGCTAACCCCCTTTGTTTACTGTGCAACTGTGAAGCTAGGCTAAGCTAAGCTAAGCTAAGCTAAGCTAAGCTAAGCCTTTTTGATGGCTCACTCAGCCGTCCGCTCTTCTCCCATCCTCCTCTGAAATGTTTCATTAGCAGCTGACCTCCTGACCCCTCCAGATGTTCCCTCCTCTTCTTCTTCCTCTCTTACCTCATGTTCTTGTTCATGTTCTAGCTAAACGCGTCTGCATTTAGACAATTTACAGCCCAGTTCCCAGCGCCGCCCTCCGCTGGTACCCTCCATACCCCCCCCCCCAGTGAACACACTCCAGAGCTCAGATAGTTACAGTTCTTTTAATCTGTTTTATCTGTTTATTGAAAATAACAATGTTTTTTTAGAACAAAATTCTGACAAAAATTCAAATATTTTTTGTCCAATTAAAAGTTTACCACATTTACAACCCCTTTCAAAGAGAAACAGAGATATAATGATTGTGTTTTTTGTTTGATTTATTTTACTTATTTTATTTATGTCATTTATTTGACATATTTCGCTCTATTTTATTTCTATTCTATTTTATTGCTTTTATTTTTTACGGTGTACCTAATTTTTTCTTGCTGTACTTCTATTGTGTTATCTATTTATTCTGTATATCTTTTTGTGAAGCACTTTGGAAACCTTGTGTTTGTTGAAATGGTGCTATATAAATAAAGTGGATTAAATTGGATTGGTGTTTTTTCTTTGTTTGTTTGTTTTTCTAGTCTCTGGTGGTGCTTTTTAGCTGATCATTTGGGAGCAGTTCTGATGTTCTGGGGGTCAGTTCTGAGTCTTGTGTTTGTTGAAATGGTACTATATAAATAAAGTGGATTGGATTGATGTTTTTTCTTTGTTTGTTT